TGTGCTCTTTAGTTCGCTGTATGAGAACCTGCCCCATAATCTCCATTCCCATTTTTCTAGAAGCCTTACTCATCACCATTCTTTAAAGAAACTCATTGTACTCATCAGCTCTTCCTCAAAAAGCAACAATGCCAGTTTATATCACTTAGATCTAACTAGCTCCAAGGTAAGAGCCTTCTATAGTTTCCACCATTATAATATACTCTTGGAAACCAAATAACTGGCTCATTCTTTTATTTGTGTGTGACTGTTAGAGCTTTTGCATATTTTATGACCTGTTTTCCCCATCATGTTAACAGAAGAGACGCAGGAGAGCTTGTGTTCCATACGTCTCAAAAACAAGTAGATGCTGGCACCCCAATCCCCTCCCTCAAATGCCTCCTGTTACTGTGACCCTCCATCTGGATATGACCATTCCTAAAGAGAGACAACAGTACTTAAGACATTTACCAGGAGGATGAAAGGGAGACAGAATGGGAGTCACTAAAGAACAACCAAATGTATTTCCTTCACCAACTAACATTCCCATGCCAGGAGCAAAATTTCAGTTCCCTGCCCCCATACTGCAGTACTTACATCACTACAAAACTGCAAGGGAAAATCTAGCAATTGCACTTGTTTCTAAACCTAAGCCACGTTTGCTTTGCTCCTTTAAATATCTTGTACAGTCCAATAAGAGGTCTTGTTTTTCTGAAAATTCCAGAGAGACAATTATTCATTGTTGATATTTTTCTAAGACCTACACACCTAGAAAGTGGCAAATCTGTTTACATCCATTCTTGGTAGGCAAATAAGGCCAGGTCTACACTATAAACTTACATTGGTATAACTACTTCACTCGGAGGTGTGAAAAATCCACACCCCTGAGCGATGCAGTTATACTGACTTAACCCCCAGTTTAGACAGCGCTAGTTGATGGGAGGGCTTCTCCTGGCAGCATAGCTACTGCCTCTCACAGAGGTGGATTAACTACACAGACCAGAGAAGGTCTCTCATCAACATAGTCAGATCTGCACTGAAGTGCTACAGTGGTGTTTTAAGTGTAGACCTGCTTTAAGCGGCTCCTCAGAATCTAGGCAGATTTAAAAGAACATGGAAGAGTTGGGTAAATATTCATTCTAATAAAACAAGATAGAATGTATTCAGTCTACCATGTTTACTAGGATGTAAACCTATTGAAGATTGGGGTTCAACCACATGCAAATGAGGACATCTTTGCACTACCCAAGGTACAAGGAACACAAGTTGTTGCTATTTGTATTATCACAGTGCCTAGGTACTGCTGGCTTCTTTAACCACAAAGTCTATCTAATCATGGGGCTGAATTAGAGGATAAGCTCAAGATAAAAGGGAATCCACAACTTCAGTGAGAGGTGGAAGAATTTTGAGTGGGAACAACTTGGGCTGCCCCCAAAGCCTTTAGGAAAGGTGGTGCATAGTCCCGTGTTGCATAAGTCCTACTGTGATGCTTTCAGAAGTTAACTAACTCCTGTTCCTAAAGTGCAGGCCAGCCAAGAAAACTTCCTTCTAAACTGATCAGACACTACTTTTCCACAGTTTTCCTTGCACACAAACTTTACTGCAAGCGTTTGCAATGCAGTACACAGGGCTCATATTCTTTATAGATCTATTATGTTTAGTTATGCTAGTTACCACTTCAATCACGCTGTTACAAGCTCTGTTCCTCCCTATCTTGTGACAGAATATGAACAATTGTAGGGCACTGAAACGGGAGGGTTTAGCCCAGTTGCCATCCATCCTGAATCTAGGCACTAGTTTGTTATAGCCGAATATAGAAGGATCAAGAAAAAGTGTTATGGCCTTGATTAATTACATAGGATCCTGGGCATTGGGAGCAGCTTTAAACAAATTTAAAAAACTACCCAAAAATCTTAGCCACTTGTTCTAGTTAGTACCAGCCAAGAGAAACAACTGTTGATAGAAGAGTAGCAGCCATTTATATACAAATTCAGGAATTAAAATATTTAGACTTTTTTGTTTTGTTTTTAACTCAGGCTAAAGATAGGATATTAGTGACCCTACTATATCAGACCTCTTCCAGTCTATTTTCTTTCTTTAAGGTAAAGAACTGGGGGCAGAAGACTTAGGGATTGCCCTGGCTCGGTCATAGACTTCTTGTTTTGTACCCAAAGTCACACACTTACTCTATTCCACATTTCCTCCCATCTGTAAAATGAGACCATTTACTTGCCTCATAGTGGGGGGGAGGCTTTTTTATTAAATGATGTTCATTCAAATTCTTGATTAAAAAGCATTAGCCCACAGGTAGGCAACCTATGGCACATGTGCCGAAGGCGGCACACGAGCTGGTTTTCAGTGGCACTCACACTTCCCGTGTCCTGGCCACCGGTCCGGAGGGCTCTGCATTTTAATTTAATTTTAAATGAAGCTACTTAAACATTTTAAAAACTTTATTTACTTTACATACAACAATAGTTTAGTTATATATTATAGACTTATAGAAAGAGACCTTCTAAAAACATTAAAATGTATTACTGGCATGCAAATCCTTAAATTAGAGTGAATAAATGAAGACTCGGCACACTACTTCTGAAAGATTGCCAACCCCTGCATTAGACCAATGCAACATTACTTCTTTCCTGCTGAACCATGGAATGCACAAAAATAATCTTTGATTAATACTAAATGCTAGTATCACTTTCTGACAGGGTAAAGTGCTCATGCAGCACCCAGATATTCCCCTCAACAGAATCAAGGTGTGCCATTCTCCCTATGTGACTATGCTTTACTGGACTAAGAGTAAAAGCCAAGGCACTCTCTGAAAATAGGTCTCCGGTTGCACAAGCCAGTGAGATCATGTAGTCAATTGATTTGATTTTCCATTATAATTTTAACTTAATATAGTTGCTATTAAAATTTACTGAACCAGTGTTTTTAAAACAGCATGTGTGTATGCATGCATTTATACCACACTGAGTCCTGTACTTTCCAGTCTTACTAAAAACCACTGTGCACTTCTTGAGATGAGAATGCTCAGTGTAAGAAGGAAAGAATTGTCCTTGCTTTAGAGGAAATCTTGATACTGTGCATCAAACTTGGTGAGTCTGAGATACTAAGTGACCTGTTTGCTGTAGTCCTGGAGAGGAGTTTTTATATGAGGAATACCTGATACTTAATCAGATAAAAAGTTCCAGGCTGCTTGATGTTATGAGCGCATTGGAGAGAGAGCCAAGCCTTAAGGGGAGTCAATAGCTCAAGGTAGCCGTTTCTCGCTAAATAGATCCCATTAGTGATTGGGTCTGAGGAGCCTTGTCTCGTCCCCCTGAACTCGGAAGGTGGGTGGCTGATGGCTGACACCCAGAGGCCTCAACAGGACAAAGTCGCCATGGAGTATATCAGGTATAAGGAGGTGCCCTCCTTAGAAAATAAATGTATAGCTATAAAACACCACAGTAGGGAAGCATGGAGGAGAAAAACCCAGCACCTACTCCTCAATTTCCCTTAGGCCAGACTGCTGAGAATGAGGCAGTCATCACAAATTCCTGAAGAAAATGGGAATAATGATACCAACCTTCCTTGTAAAGTGCTTTGAGATCTATGGATGAAAATGCTATAGGAAAGCTAAGTATTAATTCTTAGTATTATAAGAAATAGTATTTGCAATCTTCACATGCCTTTCCTACAACTAGCAATAAAATTATTGAAAATTTCTGGCAACATCTAAAAACAAAATATATGCACAATTAAGGTTTCCACCCTCTCCCGCACACCCCTCCCCCCACTTCAGCTATTCTTTGTCTTGTAGTTTCTGAGAATTGAAAACAGACTCAAGTCGTATTTTCTTTAGATGGGCTGTTTCCAGGAAAGATGCAATAGCTCCAGCATAGCTGGGGGCATGTTACATATTTATGTTTTTCATTACTCTTATCTGAAACTATTGAGGACAGAATGTGAAATAAGCTCTGCCAGATCAGGTAGGGGCTAACAGTCCTGCACATGCTCACAACTCAAAACACATTTAAAAAAAAAAAAAGAGACAGGTTTAGCACACCACAGAAAAGTTTGTCCGTTATTCTTTCATTTGCTAAGCTTCAGAACCATTGGTTAATACGACAAAAACACTGAAATAAACTAGCTGAGAAACTAGTAAAGCAAGACAGAAGTATATACACTTTTATGAGAAGATGATACATGGAGCTATTCTCAAAGATTCCAGAACACTATCTATATGCACAATATCTTCCTAGTCATCTCTGGGAAGTAATGAATCTTAGAAGATACCTTCATGGGTGGGAATTGAACAATTTCCCTCCCACTGGCAGACCATAAAATACACCCAATGTGCCCCAAGGTTACGACCAAGCTCATTTCTCCTCTCCACACCAGGCCTCCGTTTTAGGCGGCACCACTAAGTATAATGCATCATCCCAAAAAGAAAATGAAAGTTCTCCCCATGTCTAAGATTTTCCTCCCCGTGCCTATTTTTGATGGTAGAGAAAAATTTAAAGCCTAGTTGTCTCCAGCTCTCTATGTATGAGGAAGTTTCTTACTATATGAAAGCTTGTCAGAGCAATGAAGTCCATCCTCTGGGCTGAAATTATGCTCCCTAATAACTTGCCTTCTACTTAAAGTCTGGAGAGAGAATTCACTGGATCACTTCTCTACTTGCACAAGTGCAAGGAATCTAAACATCTGCTTTCTCTAGCTATTCTGAGTTCAAGCAATCCCGTCGGGAAAGTCTGATAACCTCATTAAACTGACTTTAGGCTAGAAAGAGACGCATCACATGAGAAGAAAAGAAAAGTTGATTCTCCCATCTGGCCTTTGGGGCCCATGAAGCCTTTGACCCACTATGACTCTGGTGGAGGAGGAAGGGGAAATCTACAAATATCAGTGTCAGCTCTTTTAAAAAAAAAAAATGTAATGAGCTTCTAGCTCTTTTCCTTATGAATATCGGTTTGCATTTTCAAGACTATCACCAAGGCTGAAAGTACATTACTGACTTTTCCTAACATATTCTGAATCTTTAAGGTCCCCTCTCCAATCATAATGCACCAAAAGCACCAAATTAGCAGAGTGCTGCCATGAAAGACAATGAAATTTTAGCCTGGAGTGAGATTAAAGTCAATAAAATAAATAAGTAATAGATTTCTTAATGGAAGCCATCCCTGCCCCCCAAGGTTCCAGGGCACTGTACAATGGCTTCAGGGTTATATTAACAAACAGAAGGGGAAATCCACATAGGAAAGAAGGAAAAAGTGACCTATGTTGACCTCCTCCACCTATTATTAAATTAGTTACCTTAAAATATACCCAAGGTTTTCAGTTATGACCTTTAGTTAAAGCTACCCCTGTTGATAAGACAATCACATTTTGTAGCTTTAGGGGCTTGAAGAGTGGCACCATTGGGTACATCTACACAGGGATAAAAGACCCACAGCATGGACATGGGTGGCCTGGGTCAGCTGACTTGGGCTGGTGGGGCTAAACATATCTATGAAGACATTCAGTCTTGAGCCTGAGCTCTGGGACTCTGCACCCTCACAGGGTTCCAGAGCTTGGGCTCCAGCCTGAGCCCAAACAGCTACACAGATTTTTCACCCCAGGAGCCTGAGTCAGCTGACTCAGGCCAGCCACAGGATTTTTATTCCTATGTAGACATACCCATAGACACACCTGTAGAGTAATGAAAGCCCTGTGCCAAGAGGCTGTTTCTGACAAGGTCTGGGGTAGATGTTCAACTGGAAAGCTAAAAAAAGTTAGTCTGCAGATTGAAGATAAATAATTTTAGGTTGAGTCTATATTCATAGACTTTAAGGCCAGAAGGGACCATTATGATCATCTTGTCTGACCTCAGTAAGACAGACCATAGAACTTCAAAGTGCTTCCTGCATGAAGCCAATAATGTTGCCATCCTATATCATCCTTTTACCCAGGATCAACATCAAGCTAGCCAATCTACCTGAGTCATCCCATTTACCCTTTGTAACTCTTAGAGCAACATTCGCTTTTATCCTGTCCTCTGGGACTTTCCTAGTATTCCAAGATTTATTAAATATTAACGTCAATGGCTCAGAGATCTTTTCATTTCTCCAGTCCAGCAGACTTGAAGATATTTAGCTTTAGCCATTGCTGTTTTTATTTTGACAGAGACTAAAGAAAATATTAAAGTACTTCATTATCTGTGAATAGTTTCATCTAGCTTCTTCCCCAATACACATTGGAAGCATTTATTGAGCACTTCTGCCTTTTAGGCATCATTATTGATATTACCATCTCTGTCTAGTAATTGGTTTACATCATTGCTGGAGGCCAAGAGTTCTTTTAAAAAATCCGTATCGTCATCAACCTATAGACTTTAGGTTTTCTTACCAGTGGTCTACACTTTATAACTGCTAATTTATAGCCATTGCTATCAACTTCTCCCTTTTCCCATTTGTTATTGTGTTCCTGAAATAACCACCACCGAGTCATGAGCTGCCTGTGAAGCTAGACTCCTCAGTATTTTTATATTAGCTGTTTTACTTCATTAGTTCTTAATATACTTTTGATAAAAAGCAACAGTTAAATACTAGGGCTGGACGTTTTAAAAAGGTAGATTTAAAAAAAAAAGAAGTGATGTATGAGAGGATCCTAGTTATAAAATATTATCAGTCCAAACTTTTGTTCATTGTGTCGTTGCCTTACAAGATTAAATAACTAAAATAGCTAACAAAGCAAAAGCCCACCGGCATTTTTCACTTGCAGTAACTTGCGTTGTGTAGGAGTGGTTGAAATAGTGTGACGTAAAAGTTATTAGTCAGACACTCCTAAATCCATTGGTTAGCATTTTTTCCAAATGACTCACAAATTAGACTATCCCATGTTAAATACGTCTCACTGTCTAGGTAATAAAATTCCTTCTTGAGAAACCAAGAAGCTTGTAGCTTCAACTTGTGCCATTTATATCTGTAAAAATATAAACAAAAATATTCTGATTAGAAACAGGCTATTTATCAAATTATAATTGAGATATATTGTTGTATACATTCCATTAGATACTCTGATATGGATCTCAGCAAAGTGACACATATGCAGAAGAGTACATTTTAATGCACTTCTAACACAGAACTGTTTGGTGAATTAACATGGCTAGTGGAAGTGTTCAAATTTCCCACAACCAAAATATGTAGACTTTTGGTGTGATTATTTTAAAAGAAATAAATAATGAGCAATTACTATTTGGGGGGGGGGGGAGAAGAAGGGGGAGAGAAAGGATCTTTCCTGCCAAAACCTAAGTCATCCCTAAACCAAAGCAGGAAAAAAAAATGAGAGGCATAAGCCAAAAAACCATATTAACACACCACGATGAATAATTGCAGTTTTAGCATGGCCTACAAGGTCCAGGCTTTAGACAGTAATTTCATAGTTCAAGGTAATAGAAGGGAGTTGCAAGTAGAAAGCTTCACTATTTTGATCTCCAAAAAGCTGCTTTTCTGCCTAAAAACCAAAAATCCCACTTCACTAAAAGCCACATAAAACAAAATTGGATAATTTCCCACAGCCCTACAGCGGTGGCTTTCTGAGCAGACCTATCTGCGTAGAAAGGACTGCTCAGCCTTGTCTTTACTGGAAAGTTAACTCGAGTTATAACTAGAGCATTACTCCTAATTTGAGTCTTGCCCACACCCCGGACCAACAAAAGTTTTACCAACAAAAGTGCTAGTGTAGACAGCCTTATTCAGCTACTAGCACAACCACTCTGTAGCATGGATGCTGGCTAGCACCATGTGAGTGCAACTAGTTCTCCAATCCACCCCTACCCCTCGCTACTATGCCCAGAAAGAACAGACAAGTTCCCCCACAATTCAATGGGAAAGAATTCATAGAAGAGCTCACCTTACTGCAGCACAAAGAACCATGGGTCACGCCCCAGAAGTCCTAGCAACACACACAAGTAGTGCAGCACCAGTGTGGACAAAACAACTTGAGTGTTGCCCTGCAGTGGAGTGATTCTCATTTGAGCTACACGAACGGGAGAGGAGTAACTTAAGTCTACATCACTACAGCGGTAACTCGGTAGTGAAGATAGACTCTTCGTCAGATACCTCAGCACACAGTGCATTTCCTCCATTCAGCCAAGCTCTGCTCTCTTCTTGGCATTGTAAGCAAGACCCCAAAACTTTAGCCTGTAACACAGAACATGCCTGTGTGACACTCAAGTTATCTGTTGATATATCAGCCAGCCTGATAAGATTATAGAGTTTGCTCTTCATCTCCTGAATACCTCAGCAAGTTCTTTCCACAAGTCACTTTGCTTGTTTTTTGTTGGCCCAATTGATAATCCATGTTTACACATAGACTGAATTCCTGAATACTGTTGCAATGCAGTGCACTTCTGGATCTCCACTGAAATATACAGGCTAATTTGACCCCATCCTCCTCCAAACATTTCGTAACTCTGAATGGCAGACAATTTTTCAGCTTTTTTTTTTTAGTTTTAGGAAGAAAGAATTCCACACAAGTAGTCACTTAAGTCCTGTATCTTACCTCCCAAAAGAAGCCCTCAGCTCACCTATGGTCAGAGGAAACGCTACAAAAAGACACACTGAAAGCGTATCTCAAGAAAACTGATATGGGCATCACAAGCTGGGAGGAGGAAGCCACCAACTGACCTCAATGGTACCACATCATCCATCAGGCAGCGGCCTGCTTCAAGGAGAAGCACCTGGCCCTCAAAGCTGAAAAGACCGAGAGAAAGAAGGAAGGGGGGGAAAAAAAATTTTCTCCCAGCAGAAGCTGCTTTGACAGGAAATGTCTGTGCTTACTGCAGGTAGATTTGGGTGGATCCAGGATCGGACTCCTGAGTCGTTTCAGGACCCATATGTAAATCCGTGGTAAAGATCATCCTCGAATTGAGGGAATCGCTGACGTATTAACATATCTGTATGCCAAGTTCACAAGGTTCTAAAAAGATTTCAGAAGAATTTAAGGTATGAGTCACTGAAGAAGAAGGGAAAATTAAGAAATAAGAAAGTATATTTGCCCATGGGTGACCACAGCCAAGGAAAGAGATACAAAAAATTGTTTGGTACCAAAGAAAGAGGAACCAGCAACACAACTGCCCATTTCACAACCACAAAGCAATCAAGCTTTTTTCTACAGTGCCAGTTTCACAGAAACTACACATTCCTGAAAGTATTTCTGGGGCAAAAGAGTCTACCAACAAAACAAAGTCAACATTAAAAATTAAACACTGCGCAGCAATAAAGCAGACATTCTTCAACAAGTACCTGGAGTGATATAAGTGCATTATAAAAATCACACTAAGGCTTATTTTTAAAAGCCATAGATGCGCTCAAATTTATTTTTAAGAGAAACTGCACATTAGAATAGTTTGCATGAACTGTACCACAGATAACATAAGACCATAAGAACGGCCATACTGGGTCAGACCAAAGGTCCATCCAGCCCAGTATCCTGTCTACCGACAGTGGCCAGTGCCAGGTGCCCCAGAGGGAGTGAACCTAACAGATAAATATCAAGTGAACTCTCTCCTGCCATCCATCTCCATCCTCTGACAAACAGAGGCTAGAGACACCATTCCTTACCCATCCTGGCTAATAGCCATTAATGGACTTAACCTCCATGAATTTGTCTAGTTCTCTTTTAAACCCTGCTATAGTCCTATTTACAAAAAGTCAGTATATAGCACTACCCATGCCACCCTTATTTCTGCACTGCTGCTGGCAGCGGCACTGCCTTCACGAGCTGGGTGCCCAGCCGCTGCTCTCCTCCAGCCCAGCTCTGAAGGTAACACAGAAGTAAGGGTGGCAATATTGCAACCCCCCTACAATAGGCTTGGGATCCCCTTTTGGGTAGGACCCCCAGTTTTAAAAATGCTGGTCTACAGGTTGCACTGCAATGTGCACATCTGTCCTTCTCCAAACCTAGTCAGCCATTCGTCCTCTCTATTACTTAATGGAAAAGCACTAAAGAGACCTTTGTCTCATGGCACGGAACAAAGATTTCTGTAAATTCCTGTTTTAATGGTAAGTTTTACACATCAAGCTCTAGTTTCCCCATCTCAAGAATTCATAACCAGTACCTAGCTCTGAAGATTTATTTCTAGCTGTCAGCTAACGATATATGGGTTCATCAGCATTTCTGGTCAGCTAATTAAAAAAAAAAACCACACACACACACTATAAGAGTTGAAGTGAGACAGCAAGATACCCTACCACCACCTCTTCTGTTTTTCAAGAAGCACTGGCACCCAATGTTTTTCTTAAGAAGACCCCTAGCGACCGACAGATAGGTATCCATTTTATTTTCTCTCATTCATGCATGCTGCAGCACAGTTGTCACCAACTTCTCCCCGCTGCCTATTTTCTCTCCTGTTTCACCAACCCACCTCTTCTTCTTTAATATGTTGGACTTATTTTTGTTCTTTTGCTCTTGTTTTGTGGCTTCCCCTCTTTGTTCCCCCACTCACAGAAGTCAGAAACAGGGCTGGCTCCAGCATTTCTGCCACCCCAAGCAAAAAAAAAAAAAAGAGCCACGATCGGCGGTGGCAGTTCAGCGGCAGGTCCTTTGTTCCTAGAGGGAGTGAGGGACCTGCTGCCCCCGAATTGCCACAGGTGCCGCCCCTCTCCCTTGGCTGCCCCAAGCACCTGCTTGTTAAGCTGGTGCCTGGAGCTGGCCCTGGGCGGAAAGCTACCTGAGATGGGCGTGGACATTCACTGGGGGCTCCATGAGCTTAGTTGTATACAGTTTTAGCTGAGTGCCATGGGAGCAGAGAAAAAAAAAAAAACAATGAATTTGTGGGTTGCTTAAGAGTGCAGCCCTGCCAATGCCATGGGGTTGTGGTCATCCACCTTAGGGACTACTGTGGGAGCAGCAAAGGAAGGAAGGTGGCTTTCAAGGAGCTGTCAGCTGCATTACACACAATAACAGCAGCATGTTTGCATTAAGAAGAGGTGGATCCAAGATGCTACAGCTTACTCTGTTCACTGCCCTGGCCCTTCCCCCCACCCCCAGACCGGACTGGCCAAACATTTAGAGGAATGTTGTTTATTCATTAATTTCCCTTTAAAAAGAAGGAAGCCAAGGATGCACACTGAGAACTTGCGCAAAGTTCTGCATTAGAGCATAAAAGGCTACTAAAATTGTTTCGGTCAGTGGCTCTCAACCTTTCCAGATTACTGTACCCCCTTCAGGAGTCTGATTTGTCTTGCATACCCCCAAGTTTCACCTCACTTAAAAACTACTTGCTTACAAAATCAGACATAAAAATACAGAAGTGTCACAGCACATTATCGAAAAATTGCTTCCTTTCTCATTTTACCATATAATTATAAAATAATCAATTGGAATATAAATATTGTACTTACATTTCAGTGTATAGTATAATAGAGCAGTATAAACAAGTCATTGTATGAATTTTAGTTTGTACTGACTTCACTAGTGCTTTTTATGTAGCCTGTTGTAAAACTAGGCAAATATCTAGAGGAGCTGATGTACCTCCTGGAAGACCTCTGTGAACCCATGGTTGAGAACCACTGGTTTAGGTGGACTTTGTTACCTCAATTTACTCTCTGAATAAGGAAATTATTAGAAGCAGCTAGGACAGTGACCTAGTAGTTTACTTTAAATATTTAAACAGTTTCAGAAAATAAGGATCAGTATATAGTTCATGGGCTCTGTAGGCTTCTTCTACACCAGTGGTTCTCAACCAAGGGGTCCATAGCCCCATGTGGGCCCCCATGGGGCTAAAGCCAGTAGCTGTGGGGCTGAATCCCACAGCCCTGGTGCTCTCCCCGGGGCAGAAGCCTTGAGCCCATGTGTGGAGTTGGAGGGCACGGGGAGCGTTGGCACCCCAAACTGCAAGTGCCTTACCCAGAGCAGCTCCACCCCTCTCTCCCCACCCCCGAGACCCTGCTCCCTGGCCAGGTCGGAGGCAGGAAGCCCGAGCTGGGCAACGCAGGGCAGCTGCTGCTCTGCATGGTGCCATGGAGTGGGCAGCCGCAGCATTCCCCCCGGTCTCCTGCTGCTGCCCAGGGTTGTGGCTGCTCCTCAGCTCCCAGCCTCCTTTGACTGCTCGGGCAGCTGGTAAGAGCCTCCTGGGAGGGAGGACCTGGCTCCAGGACTTGCAGAGCCCTTGGGAAACAGCAACCACAAGAGGGGACCCTCCTGGTACACAGCCCCTAGCTACCCCCTCTCTGCACTCAGCCCCTAGCTACCCTTCTCCCTGTACCGAGAGGTACACCCTTCCTGCATAGCCCCTAGCTATCCCTCGCCCTGTATCCTGAGCTATGCCCCTCCCCACACAGCCCCTAGCAACCTTCTCCCTGAGCGGTTTTCAAACTTTTTGAACTGCACCCCCGTACCCCACTTTGAGGTCTAATTTTTGGTTGTGCCCCCCCCACACACACAACCAGACAGGCTGGGTGGCCTGCTGAAGTGAGTCAGGGGGTAGAGGTGGCACCCCCCCCCCCCCGGACCCCAGCATGCAGAGCTG